CTCACCTCCCTTGCCTTTTTAGACTATTCCCAGGGGCAGTTGTTATTCCACGTCGCTGAGTTTAGTTAATTGATGGAACAAAGAACCTCTTAGGTTTGTTTGTGATAATTTAGAAATAAATGGCATCCTTTTTAAATCCTGGCAAGAGAGGCAGGGAGCAGAACTCGAAGGGGAAAATTATGACTGTGTGGTTTGTAAACGACAGGTCACCCTGCAGTACTTTTTAAGAGAATTGAGTGGGCACAGGCAAGAGACTGATGATCCTGGCATAGCAACGTCTCAGCATCAGTTGCCTCCTTTTCCTGGACTCTTCCAGCAAATATTCAAGATAAGGCAAAATGCTCTGCGATAGAAAATAGTTAGCAATCCTGACACATGCTAGAAGTGTGACTTACATCTATGTCACACTTTCAACACCTCTATTAAAAAGGCAGTTTAATTAAGTTCAGTAAAGGTAAAGGTTTTCCCTGATGTTAAGTCTAGTTGCGTCCGACTCTGGGGGGTGGTGCTCATCTCCATTTCTAAGCTGAAGAGCCGGTGTTGTCCATAGACATGGAGTGCCATTACCTTCCCGCAAAAGCGGTACCTACTGATCAAGTCACATTTGCATATTTTCGAACTGCTAGGTTGGCAGTAGCTGGGGCTAACAGCGGGAGCTCACCCCACTCCCTGGATTCGAACTGCCATCCTTTTGGTCAGCAAGTTCAGCAGCTCAGAGGTTTAAACCATTGCGCCACCAGCTAGAACTGTAGCCTCAGTTTCCCTACTGGCAATATGGGAATTGCAATGACAGCAGAGTTGTGGCTCCTTGTGGTACTGAGACATTGTCGGTATGATTAGGCAGCCAATCCAGGAGGGATACCTTTACTGGAGGACAAAGTGGCATATTTATTGGCATATTTTTATTGTAAGGTGGATGCAGTTGGACTAATTGGGCTTCAGGATGAATAGTCTTGGGTCAGCTTTAAATGGGAGGCACTGCCAAGATGAATTCAGCACAGACTGTAAAATGCTTCTCAAATTAAAAAGGTTGCATAAAGCACAGATAGGGAGCATTTTAGTGCCCTGATTAGTGTCATCCTTCCTGCTGCTGCTGAATTAAATGCTCACTTGTGCAAGGATAAAGGTCAACAGACGAATGGATTTCAAGTAAAACCCAAAAACACACAGAAAGAATTTGTTAGGGTGAACTACTTGGAACTTTTGGGAGATACAAACTTTTGAATTCCTCAACCGAACAGGTAGTTTAAAAAGAAACTTTACTACACACTGCAATGACATGACATGCTATTCCTTTGTGAAGAGTTTGGAATGTTATTTTGAATACAAATGAATATAATGACATGCTAATGCTGACAGAGATGACCATAATATGTGGGTAAAGTGCATGCAAAGGAGAGAAGCACATAAACTTTGTTTTGAATGAAGAATGGGGCAACCATGTTTTGCAGAAAGAAGCAATAAAACCCACGAGACCATGAAACTTCTCGGGCTGTCTAGAAGTTTTCTCACATTTTCCCTTTTGGTTTCCCTCTGTGATCCGATTGTAACTAACATGGCAACATCCTTTGGAATCCTAACGTTTGTACATTGGAGCAGGACATTTTATGCCATCGCATTATGGTTTCATAGGGTTTCTAATTTGGACCAAGTCATTTCATGTCAGCATCCTATGGACTTCTGTGGTTAGTAATTTGAGGAGAGGTATTTCTGATTCTCCCCAAACTAGGACCTCCCGAAACCGCAAAATCATAGAATTTCAGAAGGGACAAGTGCAGAAATTAAGGGAGAAGCAAAACGCTATTCTGGTGTCATGTGAAAAGGCTGTAAGGATCACAATGGGTGCTTGCCTTTTTGGGCTCTCCTTGGACAACCGGGCATGAGGACTGTCATGAGGAGTAGTACACACTCTTCAGACATTATCTCCATAGCACTAGTGGGAATGTTAAGCAGCCTGTTTATTTTTAACTGGCCAAGATAACACTGTTAACGTTGAAGAGCTTTCCAGGTATCACTGTTGATTCCAATAAGGTTTTCCTAGCAGAACAAACTGCTCATCATGTGGTGTTTAATTAAATCTGAACTTTCCATTTACCGAAAGCTTTTTCCTGCTATCTTTGAAAGGGTGATCATGAGAAGCAAGGAACACATCAAAGAAGAAAGCGGTGATGTGACAAAGACATTCACCTTCTGTGCCATGTGTGTTGGTGCGCATGTGCATGGCGGGATGGAGAGAAACATGTGAATTCTTTCTTACATACATAATTTAAATGTTAGCAGCAAGCAGCCTGCTGGTTTCTAACATCCATAATTGTGAAACACCCCTGTAAGGAACAAGGTAACTTAATTCTCAAAACAGCACAAAGATTATTATGTGACGTGGTCTTAGGGTAAAAGAGATTTTCCATAAAACTCCCAGAAGCATATGCGATATGCCTTTACTGCCCATAAAGTTTGGAAATGTGACATTTTTGGCCTGCAACTCTCAGTATCTCCCAGCCTTAAAAACTAATTTCTGCAAACCGTGGTTTTATGCAGCTACTTTTGTGCAGCAACAAATGGTCCTGGATGAGAATGGGAATGTGTTGAAAAGCCACCATAATACAACTCAGGTGCTCTTCCTAATGAGAATAGCAGAGTGGGAAAATCTTGTTCAAGGCATCCAGATCTGAAGTAGTATGCTGCTTTAGGGCTCCGAGGTGCTCAATTCTGCTGTGATCTGGTATGCCATTCTCACCACTCTTCATGAAAGTTACTCTTCAGCTCTGGGAGGTAATGTGAATCCGCAACCACAAAATTGCCAGAGTGAGGATGAACTAGTATAAGGGTTCTGGTACCTCATTTCTTGTGCCTTTCTATTTCCAAATGAACTTTGGGGTTTGAAAGCATCATTTAGATGGCAGCATCAACTTGTTAAGGGGATGGAGTTTATGTGCAGCAAAAGTTGGCATCTTTTCTCTCATTTGAAGCCACTAGAGATGGCAGTTGGATTGGAGGGAAAGCATTTAGCCTGGTGCTGGAATCATGCATAATGGAGCAGAGGCCAGAGCACTGACAGGTGGAATGGCGAGAGGTATCTCACCAGTTGCTGGAGCCAATGCATGATGGAGTTGTGTCTGGCTGCTCTCCTCTTCCTTAAGAAGTCAGAGAGTGGTTGTTTGAATGGATGGAAGGCCTCTTGCTAGGTGCAGGAACCAAGGCATGATTGACTGCTCTTTCCTATATCTAGAACAATGGCATTTGGAATGGAGGGAGGACCTCTCACCAGTTGCTAGGGTCAAGACATGATGGGACTGAATGTTCCAAGAATGTGAGGAGAACGCTTTGTCTAATGGATTGCTTAATCTCACTCATTTCCTGACTTGAAGTAAACTTTGGTAGGGAGGTAATAAAAAGCGCCCATGTGTACATGACGGCGGTTCAAACAAAGCTCTTCAGCATGGAAGCTGGACCGACAGGATGCCCCCCACCCCCCACCTGGAGTTAAGCACAGCCTCCAGATGCTGGAGATGGAAGAAGATGGGAAGCCTTTACCTCTGTTTGTGTACTGTCTGTCTTTGTCAATTGTATAATGGCATTGAAAGTTTGCCGTATATGTGTACTGTAATCTGCCCTGAGTCCCCTTGGGGAGATAGGGCGAAATATAAATAAAGTATATAAATATATATTATTATCATCATCTGCTTCTGAGCCTTCTGATGCTCTATGGCTATCTTGGATCTTAACCATTTCCTGTTTTGACTGCATACCTTATCCCTAACTCTCTGATCCTTCTATTCCTGGTTTGGATTACAACGTGGCCTCCTGGAACATTAATTTAACTGAAGCCTGACACTTCTACTGTGATTGTGGGAGCCTGTTTTTGTATGCTGATTTCACCAGCTTATTTGTGGTTAATCCTGTTCACCAATTACACTATTCTGGGTACGTGAAAGATACTGGATCACACCGCTGTTCAACTGATAATGGATAGGATAGACATGTGCACCCCTACTACAAGTATGCATCTATCAATCCTGATGCCCAACAATAGCAAGTTACTGAAAGCATGGTAGATCAGCTGATGATGGGGAAATAAAAGAGATGGGCACTGGGGATGAAAATGATGGTATAATGTATACTGGGACAACATTGTGAAATGACAAAAATGGCAAGCATCCTTATTTCAAATTTGATCAATCGATATTAAATGGCAATGTGAGTTCCGGAACAAAAACCATATTTTTTGTGCTGTGTTTCACAACAAGAAATTCAGTTTTGAAAATGCCACGATCCACAGTTTTTATTGATGGCCACAGTTTTACTGTTAAAACTCCTTGCTCTGAGAGAGGAAAGAAAAATTGATAGCTTTATGTGTACAAAGTCTGGCATATTTCGAGCGTGTGCAATGTCCTGAAAGAGTGCTGTTCTGTAACGCAAGAATTGTTTTCAAAAAATGCTATACTAGGCTTTGAAGCTGCAAGGCCGTTACATGCTAATCAAGGTGGCCAATTGCAACATTCACGCTTGCCTCAGGCAGACAAGAGTTCTTTCTTCCACCCTGGACATTCCAGAGATATATAAACCTGACTTGCCTCATTTCCAGACCTCTCAACCCCTGAGGATGCCTGCTATAGATGTGGCTGAAATGTCAGGAGAGAATGCTTCTGGGCCATGGCCATACAGCCCAGAAAACTCATAGCAACCCAATGCTATACTAATGTCTTTTTTGGGGGGGGGGGGACGGACGGGCGGACGGACAGTCAAACAAGTAGCTGTTTCCCTGAGCATGTTGTGTATCAAGAGTTTCTAAGCGGGAAAGTCATGAGAATTATGGTTCATATTTCAAGGCTATAATATCTACAAGTAAGATCCAAATTTTGTGGGTTCTTTACATATTGAGACCACAGAAGAAACACAGCAATTCACAAAAAATAAAATGAATGAGAGACTGCAATGGAAGAAGAAATGAGACATCGGGCTGGAAAGTGCCATAGGACTAATCTTGAAATCAGAATCAATTATTCTTATTTTTTTATTTTTTGTGCCTCAGTGTACCATTGATCACAAGTAGTGCACTCATTGCCTCTGTTACTGTGCACAATACACGCAAATAAAAATGAAGGAAAACAAAACAGATGAAATGAAATAATTTTTACACAAAAACACAATCATAATAATATTATTAATAATAACGATATCCCTGAACAACCCAAATCATTGGTTAATCTTCTTCTCCCTCCCCGAAAGGAACGAAATCAAACGAAACCAAACCGGGAGGAAAAGCTCTCAAATGTGAAAACTGATTTACAGGGGGAAAAAAATGATTCATTTCATGTTCGAAAGAAAAAAAAATGCACAATTCAAGCTTTCCAAAGGTTGTTCAAAATTAGCAAGGATCTACTCTAATCGTCATGCTTTTCAGCTATGTGAATCTCATGAAGATTTCACCCATGAACCTATAGGAGCTGCTAAGAATCTGGCCTAGCGGTTGGATGTTTCCTGGGATGAGGAAACATCTTGTGTCCACTGAGTTCCTTGGTCATCTCAATAGATACAACTCAACATACACGAACTGATGTTCAGGGACACCTGTCTTTTCCAGTGAAATGAATGGAGAAGTTCTTGAGCAAGGCTTGATGCCCCTAGAGCAGACATGAGCAAACTTTGGCCCTCCAGATGTTTTGGACTTCAACTCCCACCATTCCTAACAGCCTCAGGTCCCTTCCTTTTCCCCCTCAGCCGCTTAAGTGGCTGAGGGGGAAAAGGAAAGGGTCTGAGGTTGTTAGGAATGGTGGGAGTTGAAGTCCAAAACACCTGGAGGGTCAAAGTTTGCCCATGCCTGCCCCATAGCCATAATAAATTACTGGCAAGGAAACGAATGGCCATATTCCAGCTCTTGCCCACGATATCGGCACAATCACCACTGATTTAATGAAGCCGGATTGTATAAATGGATCCAGTAAGAAATATATAAGTATAAGAACAAGAAAATGTTTTCCCTGGTGAGTCACCTTCCCTGGATGCATCATCTTTTCAGCCATTATGTAGCATTGGTAGGATTAGATTTCCCATTGTAGCAATTACGTATCACTCTTTTGAAGTTTTATACACTGTCAAAATTATTCTTCTATGCAGCAGCTGGTGTTCTGGCCTAAAAGGACCATCCGGATCCCTTATTTTCTGTTACTTTCAAAGTTGAAAATAGCTTTTGCATTTCCTTAAACATTACTCATAGTGCCATTTTACTTTTATCATTGTCTTCATTCATTTAATGGCCACGGCTGAGGAGTTCCTGGGATGGATTACGATAAGAGCAGAACAGTTAAGGACTTCATCACACTAGAGAATGAATCCACTTTAAATCTGGTTTCTGCCTCCTGGAGAGTTCTGGGGTTTGTTGTTTAGGGAGGAGCCTTTAACAGCCTCATGAAACTACAAACCCCAGAATTCTGCAGGAGGCAGAAACCGGATTTAAAGTGGATTCATTCTCTAGTTTGATGAAATAGTTATAAGTCACCTAGCACAGCTTAATGAATGAGGCTCAAAGATAGTCTAGGATACTGACCAGATTTTGGAAAAGCTACTTTGTGGAGGCTAAGATTCCCAGAATCTCCCAGCCACTAGGATCAGTATGCATGGCCATTGACTATGCTGGCTGGGGAGTTATGGGATGTGTACTCCAAAATGACTTAGAGACAGGGCCTTCTGTTTTTCATCTGGAATTCATATAGCAATTATGGAAGAATGCCGCCAAGTGCTCTACCTAGAGATGGTTGTTGGTGCGCATGTGCATGGTGGGATGGAGCAATTGAATGGAGGCAAAATGGGGCCTACCAATAAGAATTCTGCCTCCCAATGACATTTTCCTTCAGTCTCCAGATTTCCAGCTTGACTGTAACTTAAAACATCAGTTGAGGATTTAAAAATACAGTTTAGGCATCCAAAGAAAAATGGCAAGCAAAGCTAACAAAGGAATGAGAACAAAGCAAATCTAAGCATTCTATGTGTGAGTGATCTTCAATGTCTCTTCTACAACAGTGGTTCTCAAACTGTGGGTCCCCAGATGCTTTGGCCTACAACTCCCAGAAATCCAGCTGTTAGGATTACTGGGAGTTGAAGGCCAAAAACATCTGGGGACTCACAGGTTGAGAACCACTGCTCTACAAGAACTTTGAAGGTGGAAAGAAAATTCCACCTTCAAGAGAGAGTGCATTTTGACTTGATGTCAGTCTCTTCATTTTGCCCTCCCATAGATATGTTCTTCTTAAGCCTACTTTAGCCCCACTTGTCCCACTTTTGGGATTTCCTGCCATATAGCTGTGGCCCTCTCCACAACATTTCCACATGACTATGGTCTGAAGTGACTGGCTTTCTTTGAAGGAGGAGTGGGTGGTGACAGTCAACAGGGAGCTCTGGTGTGGGCTGGTCCATGAGGTCATAAGAATCAGAAGTGACTGAACAAATAAACAACAACATGGTCCTCCCCAGGCCAAATTTAATGGCCCTTTCCATAATTCCTGAAAGGGCTGTAAGAGAGGGCAGCTTTCCTTGTCCTGAGCTCTTTCTTGAGGGGTTGCTCCTTCCATAAGCACCGTAGATTGGGCAGGGAAAAGGAAAAAAATTGGTGAATGAAAAACTGTTCTGTGGGAAAAGGAAAGAGGAAGACTGGGTGCAAAAGGTATACTAACAACATGAGTTACAATGGAAACGTCCTCTAATGGTTTGCTAGCACTGTACCTCTGTGGTGGATGATGATTTGTCTATGTGCATTGAACAGTGCTTGAATACATTGTCAACAATGAACACATAATAAATAACAGCAGTTAATTGTTTAGTTTCCTAAGGAATACAAGCATTCACTGCCAGGTAATGCAAGATGACACCACTTTTTTTTTGATCTAGGATACTTTGCTGCTCTGAAGCTCACCAAGTTAGCGGCACATTAAAAGCCCACCTGAAGGGGCTGAATTTGGATCTGCCTGTCTTCAAGGTGCCCTTCAGAAAGATCAGATCTTTCCACAAAGCCACAGCAGAAAGAATATGCATGGCGGCTAAGGCTTTGGCATCAGCTATCCGAAGCCAGAGCACATGTAGCATAAATCCATGGATGAAAAGAGATGCTTGGGAAAAAATAGCTCAAGAGTATATTTCTCTTGATTTAGGAATTCACCTGATTCCTCATATTTTGCAAAGACAATGCATAAGCTGCACTTAGCCTGTACAGATTAGCCAGAGAGCGGGGCTTTACTCATCCACGGCTCAGTCATAGAGTGCATGTTTTTGTACATAGAAAGTCCTGGGTACAATCCATGGAATCTCCTGTTAAAATGGAAGAAGAGCTGGGAAAATCAACTCAACTTTTGGACAGTGTTTAGTGTCAGCCAAGGCAGACAGCACTGGGCAGAGCTTAGAAAACTTACCTTTTTTTTGGATTGCAACTTCCAGAATTCTCTAGGTTAGTGTTTCTCAAACTGTGCTCCTCCAGATGTTTTGGACCAGAATTCCAGCCAGTTTACCAGTTGTTAGGAATTGTGGGAGCTGAAGTTCAAAACACCTGGAGGAGCACAGTTTGATAAACTTTGCTCTAGGTCAGTGGTTGTCAACCTATAGGTCCCCAGATGTTTTGGCCTTCAACTCCTGGAAATCCTAACAGTTAGTAAACTGGCTGGGATTTCTGGGAGTTGTGGGCCAAAACACCTGGGGATCCACAGGTTGAGAACCACTGCTCTAGGTGGAATGGTCATTGATCAGTCTGGTGGTTGAGGTCCCAAAATGTAACTTTTTCAAGCTCTAGTACTGGCCTAGACATGCTACTGGCTTCATCCTGTTGCAATTGGCTGACAATTAGGTCCTTCTTTCTCTCAAGGGGTCACTACATGGTATAATTTGCACAAACATTGCCCCAAAACTCATTGATCTGCATCTCCACCAGCTCTTGGTTATTGCTTCTCAGGCACCTTACTCAGCGCAATAGAATACTGACCATTCCCTCCCTATAACTGTGTTCATCTAAAAATTGCAAATAAATGAAAATGAAAAGACATGCTCGCTTCTTCAATGTTCAATCGGCATCACTGAACAGACTATCACTACTCAATGCTATATTACAGATTATGGTTTGCTTCATTCATGCAAAGTGTTACAACAAGTACCATGAAAGCATTCCCAAACTGGCATATGAGAAGGAGCATAGCAGCAAAGATTGGCAGGGTAGGGAAGGGCACAGGAGGTAATTAAAATTAGTCTGATGAGATAAGTCAGAGCCGCAACAATAGATATATATATATACAGTGGGTCTGCCATATCTGCGGGAGTTCGGTTCCAGAACCTGCCGCAGATGCGAAGAACTATGGATGATCACACCCGATATTATAAAATGGTGACAATGTGAGCACATGATTTGTGGTTGCTGGTAATCACGGATTCGGACACCGCGGATTTGGAGAGCCTACTGTGAGTGTTGTATCAAGTAGGATATGACATTTAGGGCTTTGGGCACATTTTTGGTAATAACCCACAGTTTTGGAGCGAATGAAATGATGTTTAAATATTGTCTTATAAGGTTGCTTTCCTCTTTGAAAGGGAATGGGGGGGGGGGGATTGGATGCATCAAATCATGATTCTGAATCAGAGACCTCTTAAAGAAACCAGCATGGGGTTTGTGTGATATTTCAACATATGATACTCTTGAAGCAGCTGGACAGTAAGTAGGGGTAGTAGGGTTCAAAACAAACAAAAAAATGAAGACAAACTCCCAATCTCCCCCAAAACAGCTCCCCCGATCAACAAAACAGCATGAGGGCTGGAAATCCCTTGGATCTTGCACATCACTCCAGACTCACATGTTTCTTTGAGGGTGATGGTTCGGCTTGTTCTTGAATTGCGAAGAAGGCAACAAAAATATTAGTAAATAAAGTCAACCACTCTCCTTTTCAGTCATTGGCCCAATATGATACAGCCTCGGGTGGCCTTTCGTCTTTCCATTTGACCCCCACTGAAATCAGATCAACCCTTACACAGGGAGGGAACAAGGAAAATGTAAAGTAACTCCATCATGATCTTGTAAAGATGAGTCGCAGAGATGTCCCTGCATCTGTGCCTCTTGTTTGTGTGACGCTGCCCCGGTGACGAATCCTGCAGATCTCAAACTCCTACTGCAAAGCTACATTCCATCAGTAGATAGGTGAACATGGCAAATGTCTTTTCCTCTTTTCAATAATATTAGATCTATATCTATATACCTATATCTTTCTCTTTCTCTCTCTTTCTATAGATACATATAGCTACTATCTTCCAAGAGTTCCTTTAGAAGCCCGGTATGTGGCAGTAGGCTTCCAGAGATGAGAAAAATATGTACAAGAGCCAAAGGAGCACAAAGAGGGATGAGGTCAGAAGCTTGGCAGTCCGTGGCCCGCCCAGCTCACCTCCAATCTCCGGTCTTCGCCGGTAGAGGAGCACTCCAACGCTGATAAAAGCAAAGATGGTGAAGAGGGTGACGGAGAACGCCAAGGTGCCTGGTTGGACTTCAAAGGGCTGGCCTTTGGCCGCATGGTAGATGGCGGCAATGGACCAGGCAACGCCGATCCCGAGGAAAACATTCACAGCATTGCTACCGGTGACATTGCCGATGGAAGCGTCTGCATATTGATCTTGGCAGGCTGCCACTTTGCTGGCGAAGGTGTCTGCAAAATAAAAAAGGAACACTCTTTATCGATTTGAGTGGAAAACTGGCTCAGCACTTAATGTGGCATAAAGTTTTGGATTGTGTAATGTGGCTATGCTGAAGTTAGTGGGTTACCTCACTGTGCAAGCAATGGCTCAGTGGGTGTTAAAGCTGTGCACTCTACAAATTTATAATACATTGGTCCACTGTGCAACTGCACACCCACTGCTAAGGATCACACTTAAGGAATTCCCTAGGCCCCTTCCACACAGCAGCATAAAATCCACATTGAATCGGATTATATGGCAGTGTGGACTCAGATAACCCAGTTCAAAGCAGATATTGTGGATTATCTGCCTTGATATCTGGGTTATATGGCTGTATAGAAGGGCCCCTAGATACCCCATGTAATTGTTTATTACATATACATTGAGTAAAATAATGATCTCCACCCTATCTATGGGTGGCTTCCAATAAAACAATTTCAAGTATAAGCAGTATAAATATTGTAATAATTCTAAAATCATATAAAATATTTTTTAATAACAGAGTCAAAGCTCTAATGGTTTGGAAGAAATTAGGTATGATCCAAAGGGTTTAGTACAAAGTTAAGATTTAACTCGGTGCTGGAATGAAACCGACATCAATGTTAATTGGGTCTCCAAGTGGAGTGCATTTCATAGCTTGGGTGTCACAATGGAAAAGGTCTTGATTCTACATCTGTATACAAGGGGGGCACATGGATGAGGAATTAATGCAGTTTGACAGCACTATAGCTGTCACAGTTTTGGAATCATGGCACTCATAGTTTTATAAGGTCTTTAGGCCTCCTCATCAAACGACAAATCTTATGATCCTATAGAATTGAACCATGGCAGATAAAGTTGCGTCAAACTGCAATCATTCTACATTGTAAATGCACCCACAGTGCATTAATTCCACTGGCAGGACATAGAAGAGGGCCTCTTTAGTAGACCTCAGCCCTTGGGTGGGTGTATATAGACATATATTCATTTACTAGAGCAGTGGTTCTCAACCTGGGGTCCCCAGATGTTTTTGGTCTTCAACTCTCAGAAATCCTAACAGCTGGTAAACTGGCTGGGATTTCTGGGAGTTGTAGGCCAAAAACATCTGGGGACCCCAGGCTGAGAACCACTGTAGTAGAGCTTGTACTGTATTGTACCTGGTGTAATTGCCAAATGCAATCACTTACATCAGGGGTTTCCAATCTTTTTTTGGCCAGGGAGCACTTTGAGCAGGGACCACTCTCCAACATTAGTACCAAAAGGGATACAAATCAGTTTTTGGTCAACTTTAGATTTTGTTTGGTTATTTGGGGTGCTGATTCAGAAAACTGCATTGAATAGACCACATCAGCACTAGTTCCTGATACAGAACATATGCCATTCAGTAGTCACCATCTGCTCGCCCACAGAAAACAATATTTAATAAGCCTCGGCACTATAAGAGGGTTTCGTGAGACCGGCTGCTCTCATTGCAATGGTGTCCTAATGCCGAGGCTGCAGACCATATTTTAGTTCTTGCGGACCACTGGTGGTCCATGGACCACAGGTTGGAAACCACTGACATACATAGTGACATATGTCAGTGCAAACCAGATCCTGTCTGATCTTGAAAGTTATGCAAGTTCAGCCCTGGTTAGTATCTGGATGGGAGATGGCCAATGAAACCAAAGTAACTGTAAGCCAATAAGAAACTGACCAAACAACCTCTGAGTATTCCTTATCTAAGAGAACCCTATGAAATTCATGGGATTGCCATAAGCTGACAGGCATTGTGAAGGCACACACACAAACACAAAATCTCTTACAGAAATGTCTGCATTTGGAGATTGTGTATGCAATTGGTATGCAATTACCCTCTTCTAGGAGTTTGGCTGGGTTACTTTAGGGTTGGGAGATGTTACATTCTTAGCAGCAGCCACAAAAGATGACACTGGCTTTGCAACTCGTCTTGTATTAATATATGCGGATCAAAAGATGGATGAGCTCTCCATTTTCTTCCTCCTGAGGCAGAATCTTACCCCTTCTTACTCTAATATGCCAATTAGTTTTACAGCAAGAGGGAGGGAAATTAATTAAGAAAACCACCTAGTGCATGGCAAACACATAGACCAGCTTAGCTCAGCATACTGGAACCCTATTTGACAAATCAGTTTCAAACAAAACCAGAGACAAAGTTAAATAAATCCTATTTGGAAATGGAGGTAGGACTGCCATACTTGAGTTTGGGCCAATTTGGCTCGTTTTCGACTCGTATTGGACTGCAGAGCACTGTTAGCAGAGCTTGACAAAATTATTGTTTTGGATGACAATTGATAGACTGTACAACCATCATGACCAATGGCCATATTTCCCAGGGGGTTCTGTGAGTTGTCATCCAAAAAGTATCATTTCCAAACTCTGCCTATTAAGTAGCACTTTCCACCATTGATATACTATATTGTACACACATGTTATTTGCTGCTTCCTAAATTTCATTCACATAAGGTCTTTTTAAAGGACACAGTATCTGAGAGGGGCAGCTTTGGGCATCAAGATGTGTCTAATTGACCAGCATTATCCCTTCTCCTGGATCAACTATAAAGAAGGGGATGAAGGGAACATGGAAATACATCTCTGGCTTACACGTTTCTTCCATACTATTTTCCTTTCACAAGCTGTGAGCTCCAAGATATTTCTGCAGCCATCTGTCCTGTTAAAGTGAACTTCCTGCAATACCCAGTTTACAAACAGGGCACGAGCTTTGAGGAACACATTTTGTGATTTTCTCCTTTGTCTCTTATCTGGAGATAATTTTCCTTCCCTGTATTAAACACCATGGTTTGAAACTAAATGTCCAAAAAACAAACTACAATTATCACAATATAAATTCCCATGTAATTGTGGTTTTAGAAATCATTGCAAATAATAGAACCTATATCTGGTTTTACATGGGATCTATGCTTAATCTTAACCTTGGTTTTTGTCAGTGACAACATATACATCCCTATAGAGCAGGCACAGGCAAACTTGGGCCCTCTAGTTGTGTTGGTCTCCAACTACCACAATTCCTAACAGCCTCAGGCCCTTTCCTTTTCCTGCTCAGCTGCTTAAGCGGAGTTGGAGTCCAAAACATCTGGAGGGCCCAAGTTTGCCCAGGCCTGCTATAGAGCTTTACATATTTTATCACCTTGTAATTCTTATGAGATCATACTCTTAAGCTTCCCTGAACTGGCTGGGACCATCCTCTGTCATTCCTTTTAAAAGGTCTCAATTTTTCTCTCCTACCCACAATCCCACCACTTTTTTCACTTGATGCAAACTGAGTTCGAAGTACAAACATAGGTTGCTCTCAAGTCAGCATAGAAAGAGGAGGGGAAGGAGTGGATTAGTGCCTTTCCCAGTAAGGTGCAGGCAAAGGCAAACTGGTACCACCTTTACTGGATTTTCTGTCCATCCTCATTTTTAATTTTGCCATTTGAAATCACCGGTAACAAGTTCAGTAGTCCAGTGGTTCTCAACCTGTGGGTCCCCAGGTGTTTTTGGCCTACAACTCCCAGAAATCCCCGTCAGTTTACCAGCTGTTAAGATTTCTGGGAGTTGACGGCCAAAACATCTGGGGGCCCACACGTTGAGAACCACTGCTATACACTATACTGCAGAGAGAGAAACTGGCAGATCACTTCTCAGTATGGTTTTTTTTTGCCATATGAAATTTATAAAGATGCCAAGAAAATTTGCAGACACATACACAGGCAACACTGACTTAAAATTGTCCTGCAGCTGCAGTAGGCTTGAATGAGTATACCAAACAAAACTTGTTATTTTCTGAATCTCACTGAAAACTTTGGAAGGTTGATGGGAGGATAGTGGAGTACTCTGAGCATTGGACTACGGTTCTGGAGACCTAGATTTGAAAACCCACTGAGTGCCCTTGGACAAGTCCTTTTCTCTCAGCATTAGAGGAAGGCATATCTTGTGAAGAAAAACACATGATAGCTTTTCCAAAGGATCACTATAAGTTGAAAATGACTTGTAGGCACAAAACAATATAACATTCTTGCAAGATAAATCAGTATACAGGCAGTCCCCAAATTACAAACATACCCCTTGGAAGGGAAATTCACTCCTGGAAGAGTGATCATAGGGAAAAGGTGTCTCTAACTGACGCTTTCTCGGCAATCCTTGTTTCAACAACAAGCCGAATTTTTCAAAATCCAATTATCTCAGGGACAGAAACTGAGGTGAAATCTTCTGAACAGGGGCACAGGCAGCAAAACCAACACTGCAAGGGTGCTAACCCTTCCCTATGCTATCCAAAGCTAGTGTGTGTGTGTGTGTGTGTGTGTGTGTGTATATATATATATATATATATAATATATATATATTGCTCCAGCAAAGGATCACCGCCTTGTCGGGGCGCTGGAGCTTGAGCACCTCAATGATGTCATGAGCGAAACCGGGAAGGGACACCCAAGACGGGACGGTTGTGGCAGAGAGGTCAGACCAAGCGTGATCCCTGGGGAAGGCAATGGCAAACCACTCCAGTATCCTTGCCAAGAAAACTAAATGGACCAGTACAACCAGAGATATGTCGGTATGCCATTGGAAGATGGGACTCCCAGGTCGGAAGATGGCCAAAATGCTACTGGGGAGGAGCAGAGGATAAGTTCAACTAGCCCCAGATGTGATGACGCAGCTAGCTCAAAGCCGAAAGGAAGCTAGCGGCCGACGGTACTGGAGGTGAACGACGAATCCGATGCTCTAAAGATCAACACACCATAGGAACCTGGAATGTAAGATCTATGAGCCAGGGCAAATTGGATGTTTTTATTGGTGAGATGTCAAGACTAAAGATAGACATTCTGGGGGTCAGCGAACTGAAATGGACTGGAATGGGCCACTTCACATCAGATGACCACCAGATCTACTACTGCGGACAAGAGGAACATCGAAGAAATGGAGTAGCCTTCATACTTAATAAGAAATTCGCTAAAGCGGTGCTTGGATACAACCC